TCCTATCTACGACAACCACCTCTCAGGGAAAATGTAGAATATCTACTTTCTCGTCTTGCCCCTCTGAGCCCGAAACAAAAATTCATTTTGCAGCGACGATCTTTCTTTTCTTGCCGAGCTTCCCCGTTCCCTGGGCTCCGATAAGAATTCATCCTTCGCTGTGTAAGGTTGGCCTGGAGAGAGAATGGGCACGACTCCCCCTCTCCCCGTTCAAGCCATTTCTCGCCTCAACCCCCTCGAAGAAAGAGGGCAAGAAGAGGTCGCCAATAGTACCCCCGCTACTCCTACTTTGCTCTTGACCATAAACGGAGAACGTAAAGAGATTTAGTAGAATAAAGAAAGAGGGAAGTAGTTATTTCATTTACAGACAGAGTGTTCAAGAATAAAGAGGAGCGCAGCAGACTGATAGTTTACGTCAGGAGTAAAGGAGAAAGACTACTAGCTATATTACCGAGTGACGAGAAGGGAATAGCGGTTCAGGGGAATTAATCTTTTCTTATAGCTACATCTGGGACAGGAGTTTACCGAGTTTACTCTTCATGAATCCACAGGTCAGGTAATAATCTCAGTGAAGGAAGAAGACGACGAGAATAGGTGATTGAGCTCACTCTCATTCCATCTTTAGTATTTCTCTTTGTTTACGGGTCAGACAATAGTAGGTCAGGGTTAGGAGCGAACGAAGCCACTTTAACAGTTAAAGAATAAACTTGGTAAATGAGCTGATCCTTCTTTCATTTCTTGCCCCCTTTCTCTTTAGGCTTATGATTTAGAATAGATTGTAAAGTAGTAGTAGTCTCATGTTGTTAAAGTAGTAGTAGTCTCATTCATCTTTCGTTTACCTGATTGAATTCCGTAATGGGTCCGGTGAAGCATTGAACATGAATTTAGCTTTACCGAGTGAGTGAAGAAAGAAGGTGAGTTCCATAGTTCTGTCTCATTCTTCTTCTTCTTCTTCTACAGTTAAAGCCATTTTGTCTCTGTGGATCGAGGAGAAAGGGGGCTCGGCGGGAAGAGGATTGTAACATGAGAGAAGCAAGGAGGTCAACCTCTTTCAAATATACAACATGGATTCTGGCAATGCAATGGAGTTGGACTCTCATGTCGATCGGAATGAATCATCCTTTCCACGGAGGTAAATCTTTGCCTGCTAGGCAAGAGGATAGCAAGTTACAAATTCTGTCGCGGTAGGACATGTATTTCGATTACTATGAAATTCATAAATGAAGTAGTTAATGGTGGGGTTACCATTATCCTTTTTGCAATGACGAATCTTGTATGTGTTCCGAAGAAAAGTTGTTCATTTTTCGGGGTCTCGAAGGGGCGTGGAAACACATAAAAACTCTGGAATGGAAATAGAAAAGAGATGTAACTCCAGTTCCTTCGGAAATGGTAAGATCTTTGGCACAAGAAGAAGAGGTTGATCCGTATCATCTTGACTGGGTTTTGATTTCTCTATTTTTTTTAATAATACCGAGTTGGGTTCTTTTCCTACCCGTATCGAATAGAACATGCTGAGCCAAATCTTCTTCATGTAAAACCTGCTTTATTTAGATCGGAAAAATCGTACGGTTTTATGAAACCGTGTGCTATGGCTCGAATTCGTAGTCAATCCTATTTACGATAGGAGCAGTTGACAATTGAATCCAATTTTGCCCATTATTTGCATTTTCGTATCCGTAGGCTTAGGGGTATGTATATGAGACTGTCGAGTGGGTTCATGGTATATGCGGGAACCATGTGTAGAGAAGTACTATACATCCAATCCCATCTAAAAAAGAAAGTTGAGTCCGACGAATAGTTGAGAAAAGTAGGTCTAACTATGAATCATGTTGTATGTGATTGCATTTCTCGACCCCAACGGTAGTGTATCAATTTTTAGATAAAAAGAAAAGACCCAATGAAAGTGTCAGTTGAGGAGATAATTGAACCAAATTAGTTTCTAACTTATTTATAACTTATTCATGAGTAATTGAAGAGTGATTTGATTAGCGTGATGTCGCTATCTTATTTCATATCGTTAAGTCTATAGTTAGAATACCCTATAGTTAATAGATAAAAATTAATTAATTAAATTTGTATCATTTAATTTATAATACGTAAGGTTAAAGGATGAACTTAGTCGAAAGAAAATTGTGAAGTATTTAAGTTTATATATGATATATTAAATAATATAAAATATAGCCCAAGAAATATATTTAATAAGGAGAGTTTAAATTAATATTTAATAAATAAAAAATAAAAAGTATATTTAATTTAAAAGGTTAAATTAATATTTAATATATTAAATAAAAAATACAATTAAAAGGCAAAAAGACAACATTTTAAACATTTGGGGAGGTTTGAAATCCAAGCCATAGACGTTGGTCGACGAAATAAGGAAAGGACAAAACTACACTTCTCGAGTCAAGTCGAAGAAGTGGCGACTGATTTTGGGCTGACTATTCCAATTCGCTTCCTTCCTGCTTCGATGTTGTTAGGGTTCTAAGCTTCCTTTCGTCCTACTACCTTTGTGAACTGAGCTTTACCAGCATGGCCTCCACTACCACAGAATCTTCTCGTATTCTTCACGAAATCGAGACCTTGAAATCCGCCAGGTCCGACTTAGATCGTCGTATTTCATCTCTCGAGTCCCAGCTCCGCGACCTGAATCATCACCAGAACAATGGCGTCTCTCATGCCCCTTCCGCTTCAGTATCCACTCTCGACTCCACTTTTCCTCATGGATTGTCCCCCGACATGATTTACAGATACAGTCGCCACCTCCTCCTTCCTACCTTCGGAGTCCAAGGTCTGCTTTCTCTACCAATTCCTTCTCGAATTGACTAAGCGATTACAAAGTGACGCATTAATTAACTTAACTGCGTTTGTTTTAGCGCAATCGCGGCTTTTGAAGTCTTCGATTTTAGTAGTTGGAGCGGGAGGGTTGGGCTCACCAGCTTTGATGTATCTTGCAGCTTGTGGGGTTGGTAAGATGTTTGTACCATTTAAAGTTTGATTAGAACTGTATATTTTATTGTTTTCAATTGAGTAATGTTGCATATGTTTGGAATTATGATTCTAGGTCGTCTGGGAATTGTTGATCATGATGTAGTTGAACTGAATAACATGCATCGGCAGGTAACCTTTTGTCTGTTTGTTTTCGTAGTCTTTAATGCTCAATTACTTTATATTTCAAGTACTTTTAGCCTTTTTGTTTTATAAGCTATTAGAACTCTGTTTCATTGATATGATTCTGTTACTAGATTATAAATCTACTGACTAAAATACATTTTATATCTCAGATCATCCATACTGAGGCGTATATTGGACGGTCGAAAGTAGAATCTGCTGCTGCAACGTGTCACTCGTATGTTTTACCACTTTTTTTTTCTGCCTTTAGAAGTTTGCAGGAGTTTTATAGCTCATGGTTTGGTAGTACTAATGTGCATTCATCCTAGGATCAACTCTACCGTCCAGATTGTTGAACACAAAGAAGCTCTTCGTACATCAAACGCTTTAGAAATTTTTAGCAAGTATCCTTATTGCAGTGATCTTAGAGTTTGATATTTCTACTCTTACCCTGACTTAAATTATCTGCTTATGAGCGTCCTGTGTTTTACTGTTTGCTGTTTTGAACATTTCGATTTTCTTAACTACAAAAACTTAGATATGATATCATAGTAGATGCAACAGATAATGCTCCTAGCCGATACATGATTAGTGATTGTTGTGTGGTGCTGGGAAAGGTAAATGATAAACTCTATTCTTCTTAGAAAGTAATTTAAGTCGGGAAATTATGGATGTTTCATTGAATTTGCTAATCATAAGTTCTATTAGTTTAACTAATGGCTGCTATGACATAACTGAACAGCTTAGTTTGTATCTTTCCTTGACAAAGACTAATCATCTTATGATTTTCTTACAGCCTCTTGTGTCTGGTGCAGCTGTAGGTTTGGAGGGGCAGGTACTCTAAGCAGTTGAATTCAGTTCGTTATTCTAGAATCGCATAAATTCATTGTTTAGACTGATGATAATTTAGCTTATATTTTTATCTCTGATACAAAAATTAATTCATTAATCAATCTTATTTTCGATCCTTTTGGTGTAGCTGACAGTTTACAATTACAATGAAGGTCCATGCTACCGATGCCTATTTCCAACTCCCCCGCCAACAACAGCGTGCCAAAGGTGTTCTGATAGTGGTGTTCTTGGAGTAGGTAGGTTGATGAATTGTTTCATTTTCCATTAGGCCAGTAACCCTTTCACTCAACCTCTTGATGATTTGTCTGCTCTCCAAATTTTATTTTTCTCTTGAACATAGTATGTACTGCAGAACCCGGAAATGAAATGTAGTGCAACATAACGGTGCTCTAGTTCATGTGCATTTGATTTTCATGTACAAGCTTTCCTCGTTAATCATATTTTTGTGCTGTTTATTATCCAGTTCCTGGGATCATTGGCTGTCTTCAAGCCTTGGAGGCTATAAAAATTGCAAGTGCAGTTGGTGAGCCACTTTCTGGACGGATGCTTCTGTTTGATGCCTTAGCTGCAAGGATCCGAATTGTATGTTTCGCATTTATATATAATTTTCTTCAACTGATTAATTTTAATGCTATTAACTGTTAGTATCATAGATATCATTTTACCCATCACCATTATGCCCTGTTGGGAAGATGATCTTGTTAGACTCATTCTAATTTTTAACAACTATGATGATTTTAAATGAAAATCTGATTGGACATGGAGGGAATCAGTTTGAATAGTGAAAGTCGTCTTCACCTGAGGCTTCCGAGGTCATTTGTTCGAATATTTGGGCGTGCTTAATAGAAGAGAACTCTGGATGTCTGAAAAGCAGGCTATCGAGCCTAACTATACAACTATCGAGCACTCTGAATGTGCTTAATAGATAGAGAGAACAATGGATGTCTGAGGCTAACTATGAATTAGGGTTCCTAACTATCGAGCCTTCCGTCCAAACTAGCCAGCGGAACGAGAAAGATTCTTCCAGCCTTCCTTCCTTTGTGTTATAGACTGTCATTTCTAGCTTCCCTTCTCTTAAGTCATACTAAGTTGTATAGTTAAACACAGGTTAAGATTCGTGGAAGGTCGTTGCAGTGTGAAGTATGTGGAGAAAATTCTAAATTCAAAGCAGCACAATTTCAAGAATTCGACTATGAGAAGTTCACCCAGTCTCCATTGTCTACGGTACTTTTTGAATTACATGTGCAAATACTTTTCCTTTATGCATATCATCTGGCGCACTTTTTTTTCGAGCCAAGCGTAATTTGGTTAAAACCGAGCATGTGTTAAGCAGTTCCTCTGATTATTGATTTGCAGTCTCCTCTGAGGTTAAAACTACTGGAGCCACACTCAAGAATAAGTGCCAAAGAGTACAGTGATCGACTTCATAAAGGCGAATCACACGTGCTTTTGGATGTCCGTCCCGAGCACCATTTCAAAATTGTTTCTCTTCCGAACTCCCTTAACGTTCCCCTGGCTAGTTTGGACGGAAGGCTGGAAGAAGTTGGTTTGGCTTTGAAGGAAGAGGAACATAAACAGGGTTCAGACTCCTCCAGTGGTGATGTTCAATTATACGTTGTTTGTAGGAGAGGGAATGATTCTCAAAGAGCCGTCAAGGCTCTCCAGGAGAAAGGTTTCAGTTCAGCTAAGGATATCATTGGTGGATTGGAGGGTTGGGCCCGCGAGGTAGACCCCACTTTCCCTGCCTATTAATTTGGTCGCCCATTCTTGTATATTTTTTGCTTTGAACCACAGCCCTTTGCCTTCCCATACACAAATGGTTTACTTGTTTGTTTCACTTAGTAGCGACATAGTTTTGAAAAGGATGGTTACAATGATAAATGCCACCTCTATGACTGATAGTTTCTTATAATTTCTCCATTATAATTTATTAGCTTTGTTTGATTTTTGTTAGTTACATAGCTTAAAATGTTTTTTTTTTTTTTTATATTTAATCAAGAGGTAAGAGGTTCAAGTGCTCTAGTCAGACGTTTGTTGAACTCGAGAAAAAGATTGTATTCTCAATGATGTTTTGACTTTTGTTACTTCAAATGTTGTGGAAGTGAAAGTTTTGTTTGTAAACTCTTAAATAAATTTTATCATCTGACCAGACAACTCTTTCACTATCTTTCTTGCTAACCTTTGAAGTGTAACACTTTCACTATCTTTCTTGCTAACCTTTGAATTGTAACACAAGTTAATTTAGTTTTGTTTTGAGGTTTACTTTACATAGCTGTTGGGACAAAAAAACAAGTTTCTTAATTCAAGAGTCTGCCGTGTAAAATTTACCATATATATATATTGAACAATATATGGTTGACATACAAAAGTATCATGTTACCATATATATATATATATATATTGAACAATATAGTTGACCTACAAAAGTATCATGTTCAAAACATAACTTAAAAAGAGAGTATATGGATAAAGTTGAGAGATGACAAGTTGGAGTACTAAAGTAACATCAAAAGGACAGTATCTTACCTCATATTTATCGAAGCAACATGATATTATTTACCTTGTTCATAATTTAGAATTTGTACTGAATTATTGATGCATCGTGAGTGAATACTACATCAATTAAGTTCTTCAAGATGGTGGTAGGTCAAATGGAGGTTGTTAAAAGGATATGTCCAAACCACTGTTTAGTGATTCTAAGGGGCACCAAAAGGTTCAACCTCTTGATTGGTTATGTCATGAAATTCTTTCAAGGTTTATCTCAGATAACAAAAGGTCATGCTGTCATTCGAGTAGTGGTGGGTTGTTGGACTCACAAGCTTACACAAGTTACTTTGTGTAAAGTCTTAACCCTATGGGGAATAAAGACCTCGGTGTGCTGGGACGAGGTAGGCAAACGTGACTATTAGGATGAGAGTTAGTCCAAACCACCAATGAGCCCATGTAAAAGATCGAGACAAGAATGCACATGACTCAAAGTAGACAAAAGAGTTATGTCAACTTGAGGCGTAGAAACTTGGAGTTGTCAATAAGGGACAAGCTAAGCCCGCACTTCATCAAACTCTCCGATTGCCTCGTAATTAATTATTTAGTTTTTAATAATTATTTTATTATTTTATTTACCGTTTAATATTATTCATGATATGAAAATTCAAGATTATTAAATAATCTTAAATAGTATATAGTTGATCAAATTAATATTTAACATATTAAATATATTAAATGTAAAAGAGAAAATAGATTTAATTTAAAATGTTTAAATTTAAGATATTAGATAGGTTAAATAAATATAAAAATATATTTAATTTAAAGAGCAAATTAATATTTAATATATTAGATAGATTAAATCAAAATGAAAAAATTTATTAATGTGAACGGTTCTAATTAATATTTATTATATTAGATATATTAAAAGAAAAGAAATATATTTATTGTATTTATACATAAAATATTAAAATAATTCATATATATTTATACATCAAGTAAAAACATAGGTATGAAATTTGAATGACATTCAAATTCATTCAAATTAGTCAAATGTATATTACAATATTTTATAACATTTAAATAGAATTTGAATAAAATATTATATCATAATATATTAAATATTTAAATATATTATTTGCTAAAGATTTTTAAGAGTCCATCATCCTTTGGTTTTGCCAAAATGTTCTCTCACATTTTTTTGAAACTCTCATTCTCCAATCTCTTTTGAATTTTTTCTCAAGAGACTCGCATAAGTTTTGACTTTGGAGTTCGAGTTATAACAATGAAGATCTTGTAGAATGTAGAAGAACTTCTACGTTGTTGGAATACTTCAAGGAGTAGCTACAGTTTCTAGCAGGTAAAGATCTTGCTCTCGTATTTATTGCTCTCTTTTAATTCTTAATAAAATCAAATCGGTTCATAATGCTTCCGCTATATGGATGAAGAGTTCATTCCCTCTACCTTCAACATTCTAGATCGAATCGTACTGGTGACATACATATCTACCCTACCACCGTCCCTCTCTGTAGTGCATAACGTATTCCATGAACTCACGCTTCACAATATATGTGACTGACCTAACTCATGTGGTAGATTACGAATCCTTACCGATAAACGTTAACCTAAATTATGATGATAGACCAATAAGAATTTTAGCATGAGAAGTGAAGGTCCTATGTATCAGGAAAATAATTTTTATTAAGGTACTACAACAAAAACCATCGAGCTAGAGAAACTATGTGGGAACAGAAGGAAGAAGGCTATGGAAATATTGAGCAATTGTCATGTCACGTTGTGAGATTGATAACAGCTCATCCTCAAAAAGTTGTAGCCTCGTATCGTCTTCTTTGAAAACAATATCATGAACGTGTCTCATACTTCTTTTAGTGTCTTGTCATCCCAAATGTGCTCTAACGTCTCTTTTTTCGATTGTGGTCTTCAAGACAAACATTGTTTTGACTATTTTGATTCTTCATTTGTGCAAGACGCCATTAGGGTTCTCCTCTGGCGGCATAGTTTCCCTCTTGCCAACGACTCTCATAGGTCTTGTCCTTGTAAAGAGAAGGACATCACATGTTGTAACTGTGTTGTTGAGTTTCTTGATTCTTCCACCGATTTGAAAATCACTCATTGTGTTAGTTATACCTCAGCAATACCAAACGAGCTTTTTCGACACAACTTATAAAGCTACGAACTACTCACGACACAAAGAAACTCACAAACTAATAATCTCAAAAAATTGTTTCTGATGTGGAAGATCAAACATAGCTGTAACCATAGAACATGCTAAGAATTTCAAGAGATTAGACAACCTATACCAACTTCGCTCTAATACCAGATTATCGAACAACACTCGCACACTTTATTAACACCAATCAAGAAGAGATTACAAGACATTATGTAAAATACTACTACACTTTGTTTTGTTTGTGATTCTTGGGATAAAATTCAATGGGGGTGAAATGATACTTATATAGTAGAGACGGTATAATTATTGAATTAGACTAGTGATGATATTTTAGCAATCATCTGTTCTGTCCCGAGTTTATGCCAAGTTTTTAACATCAAAGGGAGATCCATGGGAGATACACATTATCATGATGTACATTAAAGTTATTAAGGAATTTGTTGAAAATCGAAATAGATATGAAGGTTGTAATGCTGAGGAGTACATTGTTGAAAAACCTATATAGTTTTACACAGAATTTTTGCATAATGTCACCTATTCGACTTGGAAAGATCGAAATCAGACTGATCAAAGGAGACAACCCTCATCTGCAACTTCCATGACACCCGACAAGAAACAACTAAAGCAGGCTCATCTGTATGTTTTAGTAAATACAAATGACATACAACCTTTCATAGAGTCGTTAGTTAGTATCTTTTCAATACTTACATGGGAAATATAATTTTTTCAAAAGAAAATTGATGCAATACGAATAGACACCCATTCAAAATTTCTATATATATGTGTATATTATTCGACAAACAATAAGAATACTACGTACTAAGTGGGAAGCTAAGTACATCTACATTCCTTCAACTGGATAAGACAAGCAAGCACAAATTTAAGGACATGTCTCTGAACTGTACGCCTAATCTGAAACCCTCATCAGGTACGCAACTAAACATCCCAACACTGCCCCAGCAAGCACCTGCACCCAAACCCATATCAATGTCTTAGATATCAACCATATAATTCCCAAAGGGGCAATGGGAGGGAAGGAGACTCAGAAATTCGGATAATGTCTCAAGTGCAAAGCGTGTGGAAGTTGGAAAACCTTTAGTGATCGATGAAGATCCCTCGAATGGCAACCGAAACACAGACCATATCAGTAACCAAATATGTTGGATGAATAATGCAGTTTATAACATGATATCAAGCTCAATCAGAGAATATTGTGAATACTAAAAAGAATAAACTATGATGACTTAAAAGACATTTGATTTGACGAAAAACCTGGAGCGGGGTATGGCCAAGCGAATCCCGTAGAGGTCTAACGCTCGAGACAGGATGCTCGGGAGGAAGTTCACAGACAATCTGATTTAATAGCTGAAACATACGCAAGATATTACATCAAGCAAGGAAAATTATGATATAGGTAGTAGATATGAAATTAATATGAAATGGGTCCTTTCAAAGGATACAAACTTCTAGATGAAATGGTTTTTTCAAAGCCCTAAGCTAAACAGCATGAGTGCTTTGTGTAAAGGGCAGGCTGATTTGAAAATTTCAAAATATGCCATTGATTTCAAAAGACCATTGACAAATAAAAGTGTTTTCATACGAATCAACAACCGTACTTCAGCTTGGCGACCGGCATGGAGTCTAACACCAGTAGCATCATACATTACCTGTCAATTATCGTAGCACGTCGTTAGTACAGGAAGCATAAGAAAAACAACTGGAATATCTGTTATGTAAGAAGTGATGAGTAAGAGTCATCTCCTGGATTTCTTTTTATCTTATTAATGTCGCAGTTTTTGGAGTAAGAATAGGAAATGAGGTAAGCTGTCGACCAGCTGTTTTCTACAATAAAGGGATAACGTGATTACATCTCGAGTTCTAGCTTTACTGGGATTGGCTCAGTTAATCTTCATTAGGAGAAATATAAAAACTCGTTTTGAACTATAAAATAGAAAGCCCTGATTTATAAAGAAAAGAAGTTGACAACGAGATGGATACACAAGTATTCCAACAACAGAAGCATCTAGAATCTAGAAGTAGATGTTAAGACAAACCCAAAGATCTTTTAATTTATAAGAATGAGACACAAGTATGCCTCTCCTCTGGCTTGTAACCATCTGCTCCCCCTCCAACCACCATGCCCATAGCCATACAGCCTTAATGAAATTACTCCAACCGATCAATCACCATTGACCACAAACTTCTCTCTATTGTTTGTGATGAACTCATCTGGTAGTCGTGCAACCTCCTGGCCTATCGCTTTCATGGAGTTCCTTCAGCTAGCCTCATCTTTCATCAGCCATCACCCAATTTATCCCTGCCTTCATTTGATGCCTCTATCTCTCTTCAACCTCATCAACCATTATCCCCACAGCCTGAACTTTTCTTATTGGAGCTCACCTCACCCTATTTATTCAACCATCAATCCATTCACCCACCCATCCAACATAACACCTTTCCAACTGCATACCCCTCACCCTTTTCCCTGCTCTCGTACCTTCACCATTTGACCTCAATTTTGAGTAAACATGGTCTTTGCATTATGGCTGTCCCCCTCTACCACAACCAACTAAAAAGAAATCATGACAACTTCTGGGAAGAAATTCCAATTTAAAACGGAATTGCAAAATCTCCATACCACTGTCCACTATTATGATAAAACAACCTCAGCGGCTCTTTTGAAGGGAGAATCGGTTGATCAATGAAATTTATCTCAGGGAATGTTCAGGGGCTGGATCATGGAGAAAGTGACCTTTGATCAAGAAAACTCTTCATCAATCCAATCTGGGAATTGTTTTTCTTCAGGAAACTAAAAAATCAGAGATCGGCAATTATCTTGTTAAATCTCTTTGGAGTTCATCTCATATTAGTTGGGCATCACTTGATTTGATTGGAGCCTCTGGGGGTATCCTTGTTTTGAGGAGTGAACCAAAATTTTCAGTGTGAGAGGTTATCCAAGGTCACTTCTATGTCTTTGTTCATGTTTTGATGGTTGACGGTTTTTCTTTTTAGCTTTCTGTTGTTTATAGGCCACCAGTAATGATGTCCGTAAGAAATTCCAAGTTGTGATTCTATGGGTGCAAGTATGTCTCCTGGTACAAATGATTTAAATGCTAAATTTTTAAGTTACTCTTGGAACACTACTAAGCATGATGTAATGGTCATGCTTCATGATTTCTATTCTTCTGGAATTATTAACGTGGCGTTGAATGAAACTATCATTGTTTAATCCCAAAGTGAATTGACTCCAAATCTGTCACTGACTATAGCCCAATCAGTCTCATTCCATGTGAATACAAGATTATTGCTTGTGTTTTATCTAATAGATTGAAACTGCTCTTTCCTACTATTATTGCTCAGAATCAACTGCCATTTGTAGCTAATCCACAAATTCTGCATGCTTCTTCATTGGCCAATGAATTGGTATCAGACTGGAATGTCTCTCGTAATAAGAGTATGGTTCCAAAATTGGACCTTGCAAAAACATTTGATAAAGTTGATTGGGATTTTTTGGACGTTATTCTTCATGCAAAAGGTTTTAGCTCAACTTGGAGAAAATAGATTCGTTGTTGTATCTCTAGCATGAACTATTTGATTACCATTAATGGTAGAGCCAGAGGTAAAATCGTCCCTTCTCGGGACATTCTTCAAGGTGATCTGCTTTCCCCTTTTCTCTTCCTTTTAGCCTTTGAGTGTCTTAGCAGATTAATATCTCATGATGCTCAATTGGGAAAGATCACAACCCATCCTTGATGATGATGCATGGTTGTTTTCTACTTTGGATTAGAAGTTTTGACACATCTTAATATTGTGAAATCAATTTAATTGGCTTCTGGTTTGAATATTAATCTTTCTAAGAGTGAGTTGTGAAGCTATCGTGGTCTACCTTTATGAGATAGAACTGGTCTGGTTGTTGACATATTTTGGTTGTAAACAAGGTTCATGGCCTTCCACCTATAGTGGTCTTCCACTAGGACGTAATTAAAAAATACACTTCATTCCAGTAGCCAGTTCTTCAAATAATTCAGCACAACCTTTAGGACTTGGAAATATTCATTTATTTCCAAAGCAGGTAGGCATAGCCTTATCCAAACCACCCTTTCTAGTATGCCAATTTACATATCGTAATTTAAACTGCCAGCAAAGATTTCCTCTTCTTTGGACAACTTGTTCATAGTTTCTTTTGGAAAGGTTCCAAAGGAGAAGGTGAAATGCATTATGTTAATCGAGAGACAACATAGCTTCCCCAACGATTAGGTGGCATTAGCATCGGGAACTTTTATCATCGGAATTTGGCTCGTTTGGCTGAATGGATTTAGAGATTTCTAAACGAGAGAGACACCTTGTGGCGCAGACTTATTTTTGCTAAATATTATGGCTCCCAGATTGATTGTGTTTGGCCTCGTCTAATTTTGAGAGGTTCACACAAATCACCTTGGCGTCATATTTGCTCCAGTTTATCTCTTGTTAAGTCTCATGACTGTCGTTTTGGTAATGGTCGATCAATTTCATTTTAGCATGATCCTTGGTTGAGTTATGAAGCTGTTGATACTGTCTTCTCTCTTCTTTATAGACTCACTTCTCAGCCAAATAGTCCAGTTGCTGACGTCTGGGTTCCTTTACTAATGCCTGGGATTTGAGCTTCTGTCGGAACCCTAATGAATTGGAGACAACTGAATGGTCCAATCTCTCTCATCTTCTATCCTCAATTAGGTTAAGGAACCTGAATGATTATTGGTCTTGGCCTCTTGATCCTTCCAATACTTTTACTGTTAAATCTCTTATAAAAAATATTGTGGGTACAAATGAACCCTTGTTGAATAATCTATACTCAGTGATTTGGCAAGATGCTTATTGATTAAAATCTTTCTTTGGGAACGTAATCTTCAACAGAGAATGTCATACATCAACCTTTTTCCATCATGGTGTGTTATGTGTTCCGCAGTTTCAGAGAATCCTAGTCACCTATTTGCTCGCTGTATTTTACTTCTAGATACTGGGATATTATTCTCGCTGCTTTCGACTGGTCCATACATTTGCCTAACACCATCTTTGATTTTCTTGCTTCAATTTTGGTAGCTACGGTTGGCTCTTAATAGTCTCTCTGGACAAACAGAATGTCAGAATTTTCCGAGATACTGAGATTCCTTTAATTGCTTTATGGATTTACTTCTGTTTCATGCGATGTATTGGAGTAAATGTAAATACCCTTTTAATACTTATAACCTCTTTGTTAATTTCTCATTGGAGAACACTTTCACAGAATTTACCTATAGGTGTTTCGGGGTTTTCTCCACCTATTTCATTTATCAATGAAATTGTCTCTCTTCTCAAAAAAGATAACTGCCATACAGGACATTATAACTTATTGAAACTTCAGTTTCTGAAATAATTCTAAGAGGATGGATCGACTTGAACCAATGCCCACTTGGTTGAGGGAACATGTTTTATGCTAGTTGAGCTATGACCATGTTTGTCATTCTAAGAGGATGAATCATGTGGATGCACAAGGATGCTTCTCAAAATTTAAAACAGGAACCAATAGAGATATTTCTAGATGCAATGATGGGTTTTTGTGTTCATAGAGAAAACAAGTCTTGAATTTCTGTCAATAAAGAGTCCTTCCAGAATTGAAAGATCAAATAAAAAGAAGGCAATAATGAGGGACAAGATATACCAAAACATACCAGTCATTAATTCTATTTGCTTCAACAGTTTCAGGAATTCAAGGAATATAAAAATCACCCACCCACTAGTAACTTAATTCATAGCAACCAAATGATATATCAACCATTCAATACAACGAAGCTACGGCATACAATTGATATCTTTCAAATGTACCATACAAATATAGTGTATATATATATAAGTCGAATAAGAATATTACCTATATGAATATAGATTATATAATTGAAATCTCAACATATTCATTTACATCAAAATCTAAATCCTTGATGACAGCAGACGCATGCCAATTGAAGGCTTCATCTTAGCTGCCAGATTATGTTGAAGATATTTGATCTATGTAAATATTGTTGCCACTGACAGATCTAAAGTGCCATGTAATCCCCTATGATGAAACATGATGTATCATGGCAATTTGTTGATAGGTACCGATACTGAAATTCCTCAAAAAAACAAAAATCAATGGAATTCTCTAATTTAATCTCCCAGGGAATCAAAAAATAATTGATGAAATTTTGGACAATTGAAGATTTCTTATAATTTCCAAAGAGAGTCATGATTATAGATATTTATTCAAACAACGTTTGACATTATCAAACAGAAAACAACAATAAAAGATATCATTATAAAAGTTAACTCAAATAATGAACAAGACCTGGCAGTTAAGTACGTACAATGCATGCCAAAACCAAAGCAAGTGCAAAAGCTGGTCCCCCAGTTCCTTCTTGCAAGCCAATAGCTACAGCTAGAGACGTTACAGTGGCCGAATGTGATGAAGGCATTCCACCAGACCCCAGCATCCTTTTGGAGTCCCATCTCTTCTCTTTGAACCTGCACAATCCATTATATTATCAGTGAAACAAGAAAGAAGCGGCAAAGAAAGAACAGCCCAGTATAGCTCTAGGATTACGTTAACTTATTATCTGTTGCTAATCAAATAAATTGTCTCCTATATCTGAAAATTACAAATTTGAGTCCCCAAAAATTCATTTTAATTATAATATTGAATTAATTAATCACTCAAAATAGTATTTGGATTGTGTGACCCAAGAAGGGAAACAATTTGGCATATTTTTAAATTTAAAATTTACTACCAAACACAATTTAGAAACAATAAAAACATGGAATACAACTTGGTTTTCTATTAAATCCCTTGTTTTCAATTTTTGTTATCACCAACCGAACGCACTTCTCAAAACAAATAATAAAGACAAGCAAAAACAAACAAGGATGAACCTTAATACTAGTTCACATAACTCACATTAAGCTTGATGAAATGATTTTGTACACACTTGTAATGAGTCCGATGGGCTGAAGTCTTTAACCTTATTCGCCCTTTCTTTTTTGTGGATGAAGCAAACATAGGCCTCACATTCAGGGTGTTGTCCAAGATCCCTCTCTCAGAAAACCCCTTAAAAACTCGCGCAAGGTCCTCTTTTATTACTTCCTGATTATTTTGAGATCATACTCCAATCAATGCCTTCAACAAAGGCCTTGGGCCCGACAACTGGTGCATAGAGGTTCAAGAAAAAATCCCCCTCGATCTTCTCGTCTCCCTTGAGCACCTCCTATTATTATTTTCCAAAGAACCAATGAAATTTTTATTTTCGCGCTCATTTCCCAAGAACAGAGTGTTGCAACCTCCCTCCTTGGCCCATCTCACTTCAGCTTTTTGCCTCCAACTGGTGGTTTCTTTCCTTACTAACTCTCATCAAATTCCAGTTTTAAAGAAAAATGTTCCTCTTTCCGGGTTTCATTTAGGTTACCTCCTCTTTGAGGTTGTCAAAAGCATTAATTCTAGCCAACACCTCCTTTTCTTACTCCTTAAAATCCCAGAGAACTCTTTGTTCCACAATTTAATAGTCCTTTGAGGGCCATCAGATTCCTCGTGAACCAAACACCTTCCCAATATTTAGGGCTTTCCACATTCCACCACGAAGAAAAAGAAGATTGAAGGAGGGGTTGTCCAGCCACATGTTCTCAAATCTGAAAGGACATGACCGCAGTATGGTTGCATGTGTAGTCTAAAGAGGAAGTTCCCCAGCATAGCCTTCGTGGTGTTGTTTCATTCGCTTAATAATATTTTTTATTTAAAAACAAAAATGGTTTCATTTGTAAATGAGAGACTTGAACACGCCTCTCATCAATAGGTGAATTAGAACATAAGCAATAAAGATGGAAAATAAAGGGGAAAGAGGATACACTACCTATAACCGTAGTAGCAAAGCCATCTTTCCCATTAAAAAAAATCATCCATAAATTCCAAACAAAAATGATCATATGCTTTTCTAAAGTCAACATTAACGATTGCACTCTCCTCCTTCATGACTCAATACTATCTAATGCCTTTCACTTTCAAAACCCAGTCACGGATTTGTTTCCCACTCACAAAAGCACCCTGGGATGAGGAAATAATGTTGGGAGGACCTTTTACATTCATTTTGCCAAAGTTTTAGATATGATCATCCAAAGACTAGAGACCATGTTAATAGACCTACAATCCTTGACTTCCCTAGCATCCGACTTCTTTGAAATCGAGTAAATATAGGTTTAGACGTTTTGTTCATGGTTGCACCCCCCACATCTCTCTCATAGAATTCAATGAACACCTAAAGAAGTCATATTTTATCAAATCTCAATCCACAGACAAACTAACTGGCCAAGAGACTAACCTCATTGCAACTAAACATTGTGGCCTTAATAGACTAGAAACCAAGCTAATAGACCTAAGATCCTTGACTTAACTAGCATTCGACTTCTTGGAAATAGAGAAATATAGGTTTTGACATTTTTTTAATGATTGTATCCCCACACCTCTCTCAAAGAGTTCAATGAACACCTACAGAAATCATATTTGATCAAATCGAAATTCTCTTGAAAGAAAGATATAGACAAAATTTCTGGACCAAAAGCCTTACCCCATAGCAACTACATTTGTGGCCTTAATAGACTAGAAACCAAGCTAATAGACCTAAAATCCTTGACTTTCCTAGCATCCAACTTCTTTGAAATTGAGCAAAAATAGGTTTTGATGTTTTGTTCATGGTTGCATCCCACACACCTCTCCCATAGAGTTCAACACCAAAAGAAATCAAACTTTATCAAACCCAATTCTCTTGAAAAAAAAATAAAAATAAAAAAAAAGCCACAGACAAACTATCTAGGCCAAGAACCTTTCCCCTCGCAACTAAACATTGTGGCCTCAATTCTTCCAGCTAGAATAGTAAGTTCAAGGAAATCCCATTCCACATTGCTAATTGGGGTCCCAGTCCAAACCAACTACAAATGAGTAAGGAATAGCATTAGACGCATGTAAGGTAGAGAAGAAGTTCCAAAATATCCTCTTCAACGACAATCTTTGATCACTACACTCCCATCCTCCAACATCAGAGCAAAATACAGTTCCAAGATCTTTTGGCACTGACCATTTTATCAAAGTAGGAGGTCCTCCAATCTCATTCTTTGACTCATTTTACCCTAGACTTTTGCCTCCATTATGTCTCTCTGCTAGTGAGAACCTCAAAATCCCCTTCGAGACAATTTCATTCCTCCCTCACTTCCTTGCTTCAAGAATCAAGAGATTCCCTTTACAATCTGATACATACCAGTTTCATCAAGAAGCACACTTGAATTCACTCTAAAGAACCAAAATCAATTAATTCCGATATAGAACAAAATTAAAAAAAGTTCTCTAATAAAATTAAAAAAATTAAACTAATGTTTATCGCATTAACTTTACAAGAATCTACTCCCTTGAAGACATTAGAACAGTGGGATACCAACCCAAGGTAGAGAAGTTACAGAAACATAAATGGAAGCTTAAAAAAAGTTACAACGCAACAAAATTTCAAAAAGAAGGTGGGTGTAATAGAACCCTAAATCTGATTGGGGGGATTAGAACCCAGTTTTCAAAAACACAGTGAAACCTAACCCGACGATCTCAAACAGACTCATAAATTGACCTTGGAGACAAATTAAGAAGCCATCAAATAGAAGCAGCATAAGATAGCAATTAAGAAGAAACAGCAGCAGGAGAAACGATGGAATAGAGAGTACCAGGTAGTGAAGAGCTTGAGAAACTGAGCGAGCGCGAAGGAAAGGAAGGCAGAGAGGAGAGGGAGATTTGAGGGGAGAAGTGAAGGCTTGTACGAGGCGTCGGCTGCTACGATCACTTCGTCCATCAGAGGCCGGAGCTTAGAAAAGAAAGAAGAAGAAGAATGAAAATGAAGAACGCAGCAGCATAAGAATTAATGTGAGAAGTAAATAAATAACAAATACATCTAATTTTGGTCCAATTGGATGATCATATAAGATTTTTTCTTTTTTAATTTCCTTCATCCACTTTAATTAATTAATTAATATATATATATATATATATATATATATTGACATTATTCTCAATTATTCCTCATTTATAGTGGATCTGAACTCGATCCACCGTCATTGTTCGATCAACTATGGTAGTTATAGTGAATTTCACGAGATTGTTTGTATAATTTGTAGATTTCAAGTATTTGAAGCAAACGGGAGTGTTATTGCATGCATACATGAGTTAATTGGATTGAAGAGTTCAAATCATCAGAAGAGGTGTTGCAGTCAAAAGACTCGATCAGACATTGTTTAGACATTACTGATGATGTATCAACTCCCAAAATGCACCAAACAACCCAAAAGGCCCAAGGCCACAACACGCACAGTTCGCTCAGGTCAATTTTGAAAAAATTATATAACGTCGAGACATTATCTCCAATGTTGCAAATTTTTTTTGTAGAAGCCTCTAATTCTTGGCGTAAAGAGGTGAGTCCTTTTGGAGGGGGAAAATCCTTTTGATTTCTACATATTCGTTCGAGTTGAAGGAGACTTTTTGATGGCTATGGAATTCAAGATCTGTGAACGTGGATACCGTAGAGGGAGAAAGGAGTTACAGATGACTAATAATTTTTTCCACCGTTTTTGTTATACATTTTTTTTCATGAGTTTATATTTTGTATTATTGAGCACGAGTCGCCATTCAGTAAGAATGTAGGTAGTATCCCTTTGAATGTATAGGAATAAGTTTGAGGAAGTTTGGTGGTATGTAGGTCCTCCTTTACTTCTCCTTCAGTAGCCCTACGAGCACAGACTCTAATTTAGTTAGAATTATTGGGAATCCCCATATGAAATTTAGGTAAAAATGCAATTTTTGAAGCATCTATTCTCACCATCTCGAGCAAGTTCGGGGCAATCTCAGTCGTTGGATGGCTTTGGGGCGATGTCATATAGGTCCAAAGTGTAAGCTTGGGCATTTGGAAAAAAAGAAAAATTCAAAGGAACAAATTTCTTTTCACAATTATTTTATTCTAATAAATTCTCTCTCTTTCTTTTGGACACTTTTTGTTACGATGGATTGAGATTCTCTTTATAATTCAAAATTATACCACCCTATTAAAATTTGAAATTTTTTACATTTTTGCCATTTTCTTATTTATTTATTTATTTTTTATATTATGTAATAATTTATTACCATTAATCATCTGTGTACATGGAAATTATATTAGAGTAATATAATATATGTTGTGGTAATTACTCATGTCATGTCTGTGTGCATGAGAGTTGGTCTTGTTTTGTTTTTTTTAATGGTTTTACGTTCGATACATTTTTGTTGTGCATATGCATACCTATCCACAATAAGAGGTTCCTTACAAATGGCTTGTCTTGTGTGTACACGATTATAAGCATTTATTTTTAAATATCTTTTCGACCTTTAAAATTAAATGAAAGCTTTTTTTCATTTATCACAAATAATATATTTTCTTCCAAGACATCTGCTTTCAAAGGTGTATCCAAAGAGGACAATATCTACTAGCGGTGGATCGGGGGCATTACAAATGGTATTAGAGCCAGTCTTCTTGCTGTTCCCCGAAGGGAGTAGACATGAGGCGGTGTGTCAGTAACGATGCTGGGTCCCAAAGGGGATGGATTTTGGAGGAAGGAAAGAGTGCCAGCGAGAACACTGGGCCCCGAAGGGGTGGATTGTGATGTCCCACATTTATAAGGGTGTGTCCCCTCAAGAAAAAGTACAAAGAGGACAATATATTTGCTGGCGGTAATATTTTCGTGGATATATATTTAGATTTGATAATTCTTTATTTTATTATTATTACTTGTATTCGGCTAAAAATTACAATTTTTAAAAACAAAATACAAAAAAAAAATTCTAAAATGATTGGTAATAATTTTCCAAAAATTAATTTGTTAAATTTGTGATTCCCACCAGCGGCATCTTTTCTTCAAAACATCCGCTTCCGGCCGCCCCCGGTTTCTTCCTCTGCGCCTTCAGCGGCATCTCTTCTTCAAAACTTCCGCTTCCAACCCGCAACGCTTCCGGCTGCTTCTCCTCTCTCTTCCTTCATTATCTCGCCCTCTTTCTTCTCCGCTCCCTCTGCGTTTTCTCCTTTACTTTTTCCGGTCACTCTTCGCTTCACTCTCAGGTATTCCATATCATCTCTTCACTTCTTTTTTTCGCTCTAATCGCTTGTTTTTTTAGGCTAATTGTTCTTAATATTCCTTGTGAATTGCATCTTTACTTCAATGGATTCTATTAAGGATTTGTTTCTGTGTTGTTCCCTTGGTTTCTGTTTTCTCTTTACTCTTTGCTTCCTTTCGTGGATGACTTGTAATCGTGTTTGAGATGGAGAGAGGATTCGGAACAATCTTCATTTCAGCAGATATATGTTAGTATCTGTGCTTGCATTTTCGAAATTGTTGTTTATTAGAACCAGAGGAGTTGGGAAACACTCCGTCCTATCTTTTCTAAATGGATAAATTATATTTTGCTGCCTTATCCTGAAAACCCTAGTGTTTTTCCTTTTTGGCCTTCTTTTGGCGACCTCTTAGACATAGACCTCTCTAATCCCTTTCTAATATAGAGCTGGTTTGTTTGGATTAACTTTTGAAGTGCTTAAAAATGCATTTCATTGAAAATCAATCCAAACATGCCTTAGTTTCCATAAGCTCCAGGGCGTATTGATGGGCTACTCCTTTTTTTTATTTTATTTTGCATGCCTTTTGTACGAGATTTATAATAGTCTCCTGCGCCATGTTTTTACCTCACTGCATCTGTTTTTCTGTAAGGCAGAGTTGCAGACGCATGTAGTAATGCTTTTGTATGCTATGTGAACAATTTTTTTTTTTTTTTCATTTATTATTTGATACATTCCATGCTAGTTGGCTATGTCAAAGACGATTAAATAAGGAGGCTTATTTTACTATAACTTGAGCCTATCCAGGATATTTTGGATATTAAAATGGCTGCTTCATCATCCCTTCTGACATACTCATTGCAAGAGCATGCGTCCACCGAAACAGCAATAAAACGCTGTAAGGGCTATATGTACGGTAACTTATGTTCATCCTACTCCCGGATTGGGTACTCCAAAACCAAGTTCCTAACAAGTGCCAAGTTTTCACATAACGAGAATTCATCAAACTGGGAACATATTCAGAAATCTCCAATGAGGAATGAAATCCTGTGCCGTGCTGTGGAAATTGAAAATTCGCTTTCTCCCTTTGTAAGCAAGAAGTTTGAGCTTGATGATGTGATCGAATCTCAGCAATTTGATAGAGAGATTCTCAATGATATTTTCGATGTTGCACATGATATGGAAAAGATTGAAAAGAGTTCATCTAAAAGCCAAATGCTCAAGGGATATTTGATGGCTACCCTGTTCTATGAGCCCTCAACTAGAACTAGGCTTTCGTTTGAATCTGCCATGAAAAGGTTAGGTGGGGAGGTATTGACAACTGAAAATGCGCGGGAGTTTTCTTCAGCGGCCAAAGGAGAGACTCTCGAAGGTGATTGAATTGTTTCACCTCCTTTTCTTCACCTTCCTACGGTAGTTTACTTGTAATTTATATGCACTTGATTGCAGATACCATCAGAACTGTTGAGGGCTACTCAGATATAATTGTAATGCGGCATTTTGAAAGTGGTGCTGCTAAGAAAGCTGCCGCAACTGCTGGCATTCCTATTATTAATGCTGGTGATGGTCCTGGACAACATCCCACTCAGGTTTTGTCAGCTCCTTTTTTAGTCTTGTAATATAATGGTTGATATGAATACGTAACATGTAAGTGTAAATGGTAAGGAAGTGTTATAAGCATGCTTGTTGGTGACGGAGTACAGCATGAATAGTAGAAATTTGAAATGAGTATGTTCATTCGAAAGATTGTTGATGTCCAAAATTTTCACCGAGTTTCGTCCTCACAAGAAAAGTTGATGTTGACAAATTACTAATTATATACCGCTTTTCTGCATTCATTAAGCAATATAAATAGTAAGTGCCATAGTACTTGCAAAATTATTAAAGAATCGACTCAATTGTTACATCCACATTACAAATATTTTCTTAAAGAAACGAATCAATTAAGGGTTATTGTTATAAACAGCCACTAAATAAATATGACTTTATCTCCTATCATCTGTATTTGCTTGCTTTGCTGAATTTTGTATAAGAGTTCAAACAAGTGTATGAATGTTGATCTTTCATTGCGTTTGATTCCAATGAGAACCACTGATTACCATGAATATATGATAAAAGAATGAGGTACTTGATTCATTTTGAGGGTCATATAAAAAAAACATCAGAAAAGGAAGTATGGATCCAGACCCCATAGCTTCTTTTGCTAAGCTTTGCAAGAACTTGAAAATAATGCTGTTCGTAATATTCTGCTATGATGGATAAGTGCATCTATTTTGTTTTTTTTTTTTTGACCCCATAGCTTCTTTTGCTAAGCTTTGCAAGAACTTGAAAATAATGCTGTTCGTAATATTCTGCTATGATGGATAAGTGCATCTATTTTGTTTTGTTTTTTTTCTTTTTTTGAACCCTTGACCTTCTTCGGGCAGGCTCTTCTAGATGTATATACTATTCAGAGAGAGATAGGAAAACTGGATGGAATTAAAGTTGGGCTTGTGGGAGATCTTGCCAATGGTAGAACTGTACGGTCACTTGCATATTTGCTCGCCAAGTATCAAGACGTGAAGATATACTTTGTCTCTCCAGATGTTGTAAAAATGAAGGTAACTTCTGAAGCAAAAATATGACAGTATTGTCTATCGGCTGACATTCTTTGTTGTACCATGATATTGGGAAGCAATATTTGGAGAAATAATTACCGGATAAACTGATTATGCTTTACTTATTGGTATTTTATGGTAAATCGTTGAAGGCAAATCTGTAGGAAGTAACTAGTGAGGTTAAGATCTTCTAACCGTTGAACTTGTTTGTTCATCTAGGATGATATAAAAGAGTATTTGTCATCACAAGGTGTGAAATGGGAAGAATGTGAGAACTTGATGGAAGTTGCGTCCGAGTGTGATGTGGTATATCAAACTCGTATTCAGCGGGAAAGATTTGGGGAGAGGATTGATCTGTATGAACAAGCTAGAGGCAAGTACATTGTGGATAAGAATGTGTTAAAAGTGATGCAGAGACATGCTGTTGTCATGCACCCCCTTCCTCGGCTTGATGAGGTAACAAAGATGAATAATAAGTATTCTCTAACATTTATTGTCAAACATGTCGTGACTACAAATTATACATTATTTTGCAGATCACTGTTGATGTAGATGAGGATCCGAGGGCTGCCTACTTCCGACAAGCAAAGAATGGTCTCTATATTCGGATGGCACTTGTGAAACTCTTGCTTCTTGGATGGTGAAGAAATGCCACCATTGTAAGTTTCGACATTTTATACATGCTTTTCTAGGATGATTTTGTTTAAACAAATTACTAAAATTATAATGGGGGCGAGTTTTAAGTTTGCTACTAGGCGAATGGCTTGATCCCGCTCGCTAGCAGAGAAATGCGAGTATGATTTGCTGAGTTTTTCAGTTTAAGGATAGCTAGAATGCCATTGCACTGCATGGTCATTTTACTTTTAAGCTCTCACATCAGTCATTCCTTTGGTTTTATAGTTTGGCTGTATAGTTGAACGAGTGCTTAAACTCTAAACCTTAAACCCTAAATCTTAAACTTCGATGTTCTCGAACTTTTGTCAGGGTGTGTCTCTGTTTAGTTGGAGACTGCTGAACTCGAATTTGGTAGCACTGCTTCATATTTCTTACTGGCCATGTCAACCTTGAACCATATGTTATAGAATCCTTTTACCAAGATGGGGATCTACTCTCTTAGCTTAGAACAAGTTGTATCCAATTTCTTTTAGTTTATGGCTTTCTATTTAAAACCCATTTGATCTTTTCTTTTATCTTTTAATTTTTGGAACTTGTTTGGGAATTTATTCAATTTTTTTTTCTTTTTTTAGATTTTAAAAACTTTTTCAAACGTTCTTTTTTTAATTTTTTATTATTAATTTTGTTATTTTAGAATTTCTTTCCTAGTTGTAATTTTTAACATATATATGTCATACTAATTTTTTCTGAATATTTTAATATATTGTTTTACTTTTTTTCTCAAGAATAATAAGTAATTTGAGTGAAAATTTTGAACTAAAAAAAAATATTGTGTACTTTTGATTTTCTTTTTTTTCAATAAATTATACGTAAATAATATTTTGTTTTATACTCAAAATTAAGTTGTATTCCTTATTTTCATTGTTTTTAAATTGTGTTAGTTGGTAAAACTTAAATTAAAATAATATGTCAATATTATTTTATGTGCATGGATCATATTATCCAATTTTGACAATAACTCATTGCAACCAAATCAACATATGACATAAACCTCTTCAACATCTCTCCCTCTAATGAAATTAAATCTATTTTTACTTAAACTTAACTGTATATTTCTTTTTTACTTAAACCTAAAATTTATTTCTTTTTTATGAATTACTTAGTTGTTTGAGAATGGTTGATTGAGATATGAGAATAGTTGATTGAGATATTTTAGGGAAGGGTCGTTAGGGATGAAAAATCAGTTTTTATTTATTTATTTAAAGTAATTGATTAATTAACTTATTTTATTTTATCTTTTAACTACTGTTACATTGACGAAGAAAAAAATAAAACGAAAAGAAATTAGAAACCACAGACAAAACACTTGAGCGGGAAGCATGCAAACACAAAGCAAGTAATGGATAAGATTTGTAAAATACGCCAAAAAAAAAAAAAAAGAAAAAAAAAACCAATAATATATATATATTTTGATCCATTAGTGCTTTATTTTGAGCAACGAAAGTGAATATGTTGTGTGTATAAATAGGCCAAAAGCTTTACTCTGTTTTCCACAACAACAACAACAACAACTGTGTACACAGTTTTAGTGTCGTTTTGAAGATCAGAAGGCATGAGCAGGTTGAAGAGATCCGAAATTGTTCTTGTTTTGTGCCTCACCCTTCTTCTTCTAATAACGCCTCTTCTTTCCTCATCCCTTAGACCCACATATCTCTACTTCGTCTTCAACCTCCTCATCCTTGGCCTTCTCTCCTCTGCCTTCCCAAATAATGCTCACAGCCCCAACACCACCCCTTCCCCTCACACCTCTGCCAACAACCACAGGGCTCTAGAGAAGGCCCATTCCGACAACATTCCCCCTCCCAATCCCAAAATCGAATCTCTCAACAAGTGTCCCTCTGCTTCCACCATTTTCTTCATCGGAGATGTCGACAGTGAGGAGGCGGAAGAGGAGGCTTCTGGCGGCGGCGCCGGTGGAAATGGGCAAGACTTGTTTGCCCAAGCTGAGACGTTTATTGGGAACTTCTATAAGCAGTTGGAGATGCAGAAACAGGAGTCTTGGAAGAATGTTCATGGTTTCTATCGGAAACCCTTTTGAGTCTTTTTTTTTTTTTTTTGTAAAACTAAAATGGAAGGGTTTGTGCAGTTTAATTCAGCTTATTCAATTGTGTTTCTGTTTTACTTTTGGATTAACTCGTGTTACCAATATCACTTCTATTTTAGTGCATTTACAATGTCTGGGGATAAATCATTTACATAACTTACATATGGATGAAATTAATATGAGTAAACATACATATGTTTGAAAAAGGATAGAAATATCTAATGATTCAAGCCCACTATAAGCAGATATTATCATTTCTGAGCTAAAAACGCATCCTTATAAAGAATGTTTTGTTTCTCTCTCCAATCGATGTGAGACCCTCCCATCCACCTTCTTTCGAGCCCCGCATCCTCACTGACACACCGTTTGGTATCCACCACCCTTTAGAGCTCAGCGTCCTCGCTACCACACTGTCCGTTGTCTAACTCTGATACCATTTGTACCAGTTCAAACCCACCGCTAGTAGATATTGTCCTCTTTAGGGTTTAGGGTCTAGGGTTTAGGGCTTCTCCTCAAAGTTTTAAAAATGAGGGAGAGATTTCTACATCCTTGGAATGTTCCTTATCCTCCACAACCGATGTGAGATCTCACAGTCCACCCCTTTTATGGTTTAGTGTCCTCATTGTCACTCGTTTCCCTCTCCAATCCATCTTCCTTCATGACGTGTTTTAAAACTTCAAGGGGAAGCTCGAACGACAAATCCCAAATATTGAAATCATGATATATTAATAAACTTGATATTCAAAGAATGTGTGAAGTAGAAGCTGATAATCTCAAAATGAAGTAGAAGAGCATCTGATGAGATTTGTTGGGGTTTTACATCTGTGAGAGGCAGCAACTTTAGAAAAGCGCTTTAACAAAAAGTGATAAACTTTTGAAAAGAATTTTAAGTTATTCTCCCTCCAAACAAAAGGACATACATATCAACAACACTTGATAGTGATATAAAGAAATTGGAAACTCACAAAATTTAAGCACACCTGACATGCTCCATGCCTGCCCTTTTCTGCCCTTCAAACCCATTATAGATATGCTACCAACCTACCTTAACATAATAATAATTCCAAGTTTTTGCATTATTTGTTGTTGGTAACTAAGAATCTCTTCTTTTCAAACAACAAAGGGATCTTTAAAAGAAAAAAGGTGCCAAAAAGGAGGCACCTCTTCTAAAACTCAAGAATATATAAGGGACCAAATACATTTTTGTTTTGTTTTTTTTTTTTTTTTGTATTTTGATAAAATTTAAGGTTTTAATTAGTGGTTTAGCTCACGAAGTTGTTTCCTCCAATTCTTTTTTTTACGGTTATTATCTAATTTTCGTTGTTGGATTGAACCTGTAATTAGGAAGGCATCCTTCTTTGCTTTGTACCCAACATTTTATTCTTATCTAAAAATATGCAAACAAACAAAAAAAAAAAAAAAAAAAAAAAAAAAAAAAAAAAAAAAAAAAAAAAAAAAAAA